AAGTAAGATAAAAATTAGAAATAAAACTGCAATTAAGACTTCGTTTTTTAAGTATAAAGTATATTTAAATTTTCCTGTGTTTTTAAGGCACTTTTTACGTAAATATATTTGAACTTTTATAATTATAAAAATGAATAATTATATAGCCTTAATGGCTGTTACTTTTAATTTCGATTTTATTTCATCATTTAGAAGTACTCTTTAAATTTTTTTCCTGTTGACGAACAATCTATGTAGATATACATGTGATTTATCTATTACAAATATTGCATACCAACAATATGCAATATTATTATTGATTATGTTCGAGATGGAAGTCGTGTATTTCAATCGATAAATATATTGTCGTTTTTAGATAAATGTTGTAATAATCAATAATATAAATAACTGTTTTAAAAACTTATCTTATAAGAGACAATTTTTAAATGTTTTCTTAAAAAGTCTGACAAATATTTGAAAGATATCTTTTTAAAGTTCTAAAGATGTCTTGAAAAAGATGTCTTTAAGGCGTGTTTTAGACTTGCGTGTTATCTGGGATAGTTTTTCTATCAAAAAGTCAATAAAAGTACCCCAACAAAAGTTTTCCATGATTAAAAACTAATCTTATATAGGATTAAAATCATATATAATTACTGACAATTCTGGAATTCCTTACCAACAGCTGAAAATGACGTCAAAGTACATTTTTAGTGGATATTAAGTGATGCATATAGTATCTTCCGCGATGTGCATCAAATTCCACATTACTTTGAAGATTAATTCCCCAGAAAGTCTTTCAAAGATTTTTCTCCTCTATAAAAAAGAAAAATCTAATAAATGTATATTTGCTTAAAATAAATATATGTACATTAATAATAATAATAAAACTATATTTTTTTATAATTCTTTGCAAAATGCTTTGTTATCGATCATAATATCATTTAATAACTTATCATATGAGATGAAAAGTAGTTATGCGCATACTACAGATGGCGTATACAGTACTAATTTCTTATTTAGGGCTAATTAATTACATGATAATAATACATATTATCAACAAATGAAAAAATTCTTAAATTTATATTAATTGAAATATGAAATAAATAATTTGGAATAAAGAAATCAAAATATAAACAAAATATGATTTTTAATATTTTCATGAAAGAAATTATTTTAAATAAAGTTTTTTTCTAATTAATAACAAAAATTTTTCTTATCAATTGATTGTATCAATTGATTAAATGTTTCCTGAAATCAACTGTAAAAAAACAAAAATATCAGTAGGAAAATTTTGCATTATTATAGATATTGAATAATTTATATATACAATTTACATAATATTATATATATAAATATATATAATATTTATATATACATAAAATATAAAAATAATTATGTGTATATGTACATTACATAATAATTTTAAAACGAAATATAAATATTCTAAATATAATATACTCAGTGTTATAATAAGCGTTTTTTCCTCTCTATATGAATCAATATAAATTTAAAAATTAAATAATTTTTAAATTGTTCAAAGAATTATGCTCAGCTTTCTGCTTTCATATGCAGAAAAAATAATATCAATCAATCTACAAAATTTTCAAGCTCTTATTGATGTTCTGACATATACAACTTTAAAATTAATTTGCAAAGTGAGGTATGCATTCTTGTGCATGAATTGTGAAATATACATTCTTGTACATTGGCATAAGATATTATTAGTGTTTCGTAATTTTGTTTTCCTTTTAAATATCGATAGATGGCTAGAGATAAACTTTAGCCGAATGCAGCATTGTGTTTTGACTTCGTAATTTTTTAAATTATTGAAGTAATAATGCGTGACTGAAAAAATTGACTAATAGTAGTATGAAAGTAGTATAATCAAAAATAAAAGTTAATCTTTAAGAAAATTAATTTTATTTTTTAAAATAGTTACAATATGCTAAATATTTTGTTGCAAATAGACTCTACTTTATTTCTTCTTACTAATTTTGTCATGCTTTGGCTTTGAATTGTTAAATATAATTGAAATGAACTTGCGTAATCATCCCAATTATATTTAATCTATTATTTATTCTGTACTTTGATATTTTCAGTTATAATAATTTCAAGAGAAAGTATAAAAATATTTATTTTTTCTTATCTTTGAGCATTCATTGCATTACACTTGCTCATTATATTGAATAAATATAACAAGTTAAATATAATTGGAGTGATTACGCAAGGTTATTCCAATTACATATTTAACAATTCAAGGCCAAAGCACAACAAGATTTAACAGAGATGTTCAATCAAATGAAACTGTACTTATCAACCTCCCCACTATCACACAATTTATAATCATTTGACTTATATATAGTATATAAAGAACGATGAAATTAAACGAGTACTTTACAAAATCCTCAAAGTCAAACATTCCTCATTTTTCCTCAAAATGAAGATCTACGTATTCGCTCTCTTGGTGCTAGCTGCGGTTGCAATCGCACTTCCAATTGAAGGTATGAAAAAGAAAAATGTAAAACTGAATAGATATAAGAATATAAATTCGTGAACGGAAGAAAAATGTAAATTTATGTCTTATTTTAAACAACGACATAATGGTTAATAGAAAAGATAATGGTAAATTTATAAATTGGACAAAGTTCGTGAACGTCCAAAATAATTTCTAAGAATATTTAAATATATCTACATATATTGAATATCGATTAAGTCTTCCAACTTTTTGTAAGTAGTGATTTTATAGGAAAAAATTATATATTTTAATAATTTATTTTGGAATAATAACATTTCTCTATTGCGTATATCAAATCAAGATGAATCAAAATCTCAGCTGACAAATGAGAATAGATTCTTGAATTTGGCACCTGTCGGACAACACCATCGCGAACGTAGGGTCACTTGTGACCTTCTCTCTGGTCTTGGAATTGGTCACAGCGCTTGTGCTGCCCATTGCCTCCTTAAAGGATACAAAGGAGGAAGTTGCACCAGCAAGGGTATTTGTTCCTGCCGCAAGTAAGCTGCAATTTGAATAATTATAATCTTTTGATATTTCAATTATTTCGAAAACAAAGTGGTTATCATTCATGTGTGTAAAGAATGATTTTTAATTATCAATTTTAATTTTCAATTATCTGATTCTTAATTATCATTACTACCTATATTAAATCCTTGTTGCATTATATGATATTAAGAATGTATAGTATCGGAGATATAATGACAGTTTAATAAGGAAACTTATATTAATTCATTAATATAATTAATATTAAGTTATTCAATAATAAAATTTTCTTTTATTATTTTTAGTTAAAGAATAATTGGATTAATTTTGGTTTATTTTGATTTTGATAACATACCAATTTTCTTGAGACGAGATTGAATTGGAATTTTGATCGCCACGTATCACGTATGATTCATCCATTTTCAACCTTACAAAAAATGCATGTAGTGCAAAATTATTTGTAATAAATATTTTCTCAAACCTTACAAAAAATACATGTAGTGCAAAATTATTTGTAATAAATATTTTCTCAATTAGAATAAAATTAACATAAAATATCCATATTTTATTATCCTGTACAATCCTTTAGAAATATATACTGTTATTTTATTTCTTATTATTTAATACTTAAAAAAATAGAATTTTATTGCAAAACGTTTTTGATCTTAATTGTGCGATGCGACGAAACGGTTGCCTAATCTTTAATGTAGTAGTAAATGCGTTGTAATCGATTTCAAGAGATTGATGTAATACTAATTATGAGCATCGACGATCGTGCAATAGTCAAAGCGAGTTAATCCATCAAGATCTATTAAGCGGTTAAATCGAAAGTAAACGATACACGATGCAAAAAGGATTAAC